GTAGCAGCATGGTATTGACATGATTTATCTCACTTTTATTGCTCAGTGCTAATGGGATTTAGATGGTGCATGTGTTTTTTTGTAGCACACTGGGATCTGTATCAACACAATACATTCTATTATTAAAATATCCCAATCTGCTCAACTCCTTATCAAATTCCTTGGGAAAATAATTTACAGCTACTTTAGTAGACAATTTATATAGCCAGTTGATCACCTCAATTTGCAGACTTCAGTCTAGCTCGCATAAAAAGCTATCTTAAATTCCAACTTCCGAATACACATACCTAAAGGATATACAAATTGCTTTTTTGTATAAATTCACTGTACAGAAATCTTGTTTTAACATTTTTTTCCCCCCAGACTGTTATAATACACCCAGAGTCTCCACTTATTATGTAATTTTAATTTTATCTCTGTATAATAGCAGTCACAACACTGTTAAACTTCTGAATCATTATATACTGTGCGATGATCTCTGATCTTCTTCTCTAACCCACTTGGCTTCCAGTTAACAATTTATGAGCTAGAGATAGCATAAGGCCAAACCTCAAAATAACCTCATTAGTACTATTTATTTTCTTTAGTCATACTTTCAATCTCTATAACTTCCTGGGGAAATCAGTTTCATGACTTTATTACACTTCACGTGAAAAATACTTCCTTTTAGGTTGGTTACCTGTTAACTCTCTGTGCCCTATTTATTGCATTGCAAAAAACATAAAGTGATATGAGGAAGGTGGTACAGAAACTACTGCAATTTATAGACTTCTATCATCTTGCTCTCCTCCTTTCCTGACCATTATTGCCTTTTCAGGCAAAAGAATGCTTACATGAAAGCTAAAAAACGACTGAATACCAAATTTTCCCCGTCTGCTGTTTTCTGTATCTTCAGAACAACTGGGCAACAAAGTAATCGGAGCAACTCCAGAGTCTGGGCATATGGGTGCATTAGGGTTCCCTGTTAAAGAGATTTACTTTAACTAGCTATTTGATCCTTCTATCATCATCAGTCATCTAGTCTTTCTGCAAATGTGATTGTTGTCCTTGTTTCCTAAGAAGCAAGGCACAAAAGGATTCTTCTTAGCCATGGAATAGTTAAGCATTGACTATGAATACTTCCTAAATCCAGTTTATCCATCTTTGAACTGAAAGTGTAGTATGATGCTTTTACAGACAGCAGGAAGAGACAGGTAGCTCAAAGGTAAAGTCAGGAGCCCTTTAGCAAGCTGCAAAAGTTACCAAGTTGCTTGACAGATCTCCTCTTTCACAAATGCTTTAATACGCTTTCTCAGCTAATTATCAGTCTGTTCTCTGTATCAAGGCAGTCCATTTTTAAAAACTATGACAAATATTCAGACACTGCAGTATAACAAGTGCCTTCTGTAACAATTCCAATGGTCTCTTAGCAAAAAAAAAAAAAGTCAAGACAAAATTTAAGCTACATTGTCAAGCTTGTAGATAGTCCATGTTCTTCCTTCAGTTCATTTATATCAACATTTGAAGTGAAAAAACACCCACACCAAACACAAACGCACACATTCTTCCCTGCACCAGTGACTTAAGGGGAATTTGTTCACTAAGACTAAAACCAAGTAACTCGTCTTCCTCTCCTGCCCCCACAAATCCCTCTACTCTCATCCCTGAAGAACTGCAAACACTAGATACCAGATATGAATAGAGACAATACTTCCCCCCCGCCTTGAAAATACAGAGCCACTGTCCTGGACAAGATTATTACACAGAAAGCTGGTTTTGCCCCAAGTTCTGCCAACTCTGTAAACCTGGAAGATTAACAGGAACTTACTTAAACTCACATCAATTCTTCAGTAAAACAAACTAGCCTCGTGTCAAAAGAGTAAAGAGGCAACACAGGCAGACAACTAATTCTGCCACAGTAGTAGTGTCACAAATATACACATACCTGTCCACATACACACAAAATAGGTACACACGTACATATTAGCATAAAAATACAAGTATTTCTTCACTCTTTCATTCTCATTACTGTTTTCTATCACTTGGACAATAAATTGGCAAACAGACTCATTCTGTAGGACAACTAGGCACTTATTTCTAGGATACTATAATGCACAGTGAACTTGAATATACTTGTCAAAGAAAGGTGTAATGATACATCAATGAATAGTCTGCACACATACCAAAAACCTAAAAGTGAAACTACTAAGTCTTAGAAAGTATTTGATTCTCCATTTTTAAAAAAGCTGTTAAAATAATCTTAGATAGTAGCACAATATCAACAATCCATCTTGATCATGGAGAGATGTAAATGAACGGGTAGCTACACACATGTCCAATCAAAATGTTAGAAGTCAGTACTAGAATTTTATTGAAACCATAATTATGATTCTTCTGAATACATGACACGAGAATAATTCTCACAGCTGCTCATCAGTTTATGCATTATTAATGAAATAAGTCAACAGTTCAGTCTGCTTCATTCAGAGTTTTTTTAAAGGCTGCAATTATGCTTTCTTTGATGGAAGCCTTTCCATGAAGAAGGCTTACTGACTTACAGAGGCACCTATAACAACAGTAAAACATAACTACCAAAACCAGCATGTACAGCAATATCACACCCATCCATTCCTGCAGTAAATGAAGCAACACAGATAAAAAGTTTGCTGCCTTAGCTTCACAGCCCCACTGTCCACAATACAACATTCACATAAGGCAGACCTTCATTTTATATGAACAGTATTCTTATTTTTGCCAGGTGGCAGAGATTTTAAGACCTAAGAATGGTTTTAAGCAGGCTAGATAGAAATGAGGACAACAGAGGAAAATGACTTATCAAATGTATAGACAGAATTTCACTAAAGTGGTAGATAGAACTATACACATTATTGGTGACATTTTTTTGTTCTAACAAGAACATCTATGTCAACTGTAACAATGCAACTTCTCTTATCTTTGCAGCTTCTCTTCTTATTCTTATCTTTGCTGGCATATGATTTTATTTAGAATATAAAAATAACAGAAAGCCACCTTACCTTTTTCTTCATCTATTCGAAAAACTCCTATACCAGATCCATCTCTGATGGAATATCTAATCTCCCCATCTCGTCCTGCATCTTCATCATAAGCAGACACTGTCATTACTGAGGAGCCAACAGGGGCATCTTCTTTTATAAAGCCTTTATCTGCAAATATAGAGAACCGTGGAGGGTGCAAGTTTTCATTCACATCAACTATCTCAACCTCAACATAACATGTAGACGACAATGAAATGGGTTTTCCTTTGTCCTTGGCCCGCACAGTCAAGTTATAAAGTTGTTTCTTTTCATAATCCAGTCTTTGTACGATACGTATTGCTCCACTTAGTTTGTCAACATCAAAGGTGCCATCTCCACTGTCCAAAAGACTGTATCGTACTTGACTTGCCTGGCCTAAATCGGGATCATAGGCTTCTAACCACATAATAATAGTTCCCTCAGGAAGATCTTCTCGAATTTTCACATGATAATTTGAAGGAATAAACTTAGGAGGATTATCATTAACATCTTCTACAGACACTTTCAAAATAACCGTTGAAAATAATTGAGGTTCTTCAGTAGGTTGGTCCCTAGCCTCTATTTTCAAGAAATAGACATCCTGTTCTTCACGATCCAGAACCCCTACAACTTTCACAATTCCTGTCACAGCATTAATGGTAAACTTGTCTGTATCCGTAAGAAGAGAATATCTCACTTCTCCATTAGCCCCCAAATCTTTATCAGTAGCTTCAATTTGAATTATTTCACTGTTTGGCTCTTTGTTTTCACTCACTTCAACAAAATAGCTGTCTTGCAGGAACTCCGGTGGGTTGTCATTAGCATCCAAAATTTTTATATCTAAAAGGTGCCAGGCAGATTTCTGTGGTATTCCAAGATCATAGACAGTAATATTTAGAGTATATTTGTCTTTTACTTCTCGGTCAAGGGGAGATAAAATTTTCAGTATCCCTCTTTCCATATCAACAATGAAACTACTATCTTCATTGCCTCCAGAAATAACATACACTAGCTTTCCATTGAAGCCAGTATCAAGATCAGTAGCATTCATAAGTAGTATGCTGGAGCCCACAGGTTGGTCTTCTCTTACCTCAGTGCTAATGGGGAGAGTACTTCTAAATTGAGGTGCATGCAGATTCACAGAGTGAGTGTCAAAGAAAACATCCTCAACTTCTCCACGACTGTGCAATTTATTTGCTTGTAAGAGTTTCTCTGCAAGCATTTTGGCAACACCCGTTTCTTCACATTGCAAGTTGACCGGTTTGCGACTAGCAGCTACAGTTATGTTGATATACAATGGTTTTGCAAAGTTTTCTCCATCTGTAGCTGTAATTTTCAAACTGTGAAAAGACATTTTAGCACCTAGGCCATCTGTTAGTGACTGCTTGAGTGAAAGTACTCCAGAATTTGGATTCAGGCTAAATAAATCCAGTTCATTTCCAGATTCAATTTGGTACCTCACCAACTGGAGTTCATCAGCATCAATAGCAGATACAGTTGTTATTTGTTCTCCAACACCAAGATCCCTGGGGATTGTTCCTTCACAATTTATTTTCTCAAAAAGAGGTATATTGTCATTGAGGTTATTTAAAATAATAGTAACAGGAACTTCAACTTCTCGACGATATGGTATTCCCCAATCAGAAGCTCGAATCCTTAAACTGTAAACTCTTGGCATCAATTCATAATCCAAGTCTTCTGAGGTACTAATAATCCCACTGAAATGGTTTATCACAAATGGCAAAGGATTTAGGTTTGCAATGCTATAGGTCACATAACCATTCTCCCCTTCATCAGGGTCTTTTGCGCTTACTCTCAAGACACTTGTACCTATTGGCACGTTCTCATCAAAGGAGGCCTTATAGGATGTCTGAGTAAATTCTGGAGGATTGCTGTTCATGCCTAGTACCTTAATTAGTACTTTTGCAGAAGCTCTTCTGTCACTTGTCACAACTTCAAGTTCAAAATGGGATGCGTATTGTGCTTTTATGGGTTCTAAAGTGGTAATAAGACCAGTGTGAGCATTTAAATTGAATTTTACTTTGCCCAGTGTATTTTTAAATATATATTTTAAATGTGGATAACTAGGCAGAGCTTTCACCATTATCACAGGTGTGTTTGGAGGGGCAAATTCACTTATTTCAGCTCTATATACCTCTTTTTCAAATCTGACAGGACCAGACTTAAATTGTGGTGATGCCACATGAACAACTTTTACAGAAGAAAACTGTGGGGGATTTCCTTTATCTTTAGCTTGAAGGGTAAGGTTGTATCCAAAAGGGTGGCTCTCCCAGTCAACATGACCAATGGCTTTTATTCTGTATTCTTTACCTCCTGGAACAGACCTCACTGTTTTGAACTGCTGAAGCGGATCACCTGCAACAATATTCAATGATGCTATTTCCCCATTTGAACCCTGATCGTTGTCTTCTACAGTTACAGTTGCATAAGTTGGATCTTTGTCCAATTCTGACGGAGTCAATGTAACAGCTGTAATAACAGGGGCATGTTCGTTTGCTTGCTCTACATGAACAGTTAGTTTTGCCATACTGCTTATGCCACTGCTACCATACAACTTCAGCCCACGGTCCACTGCAAGAATTTCCATGTCATAACGTTTAGTGTCCGAGTAGTCAAGTCTACCAGTTAGAACTACCACTCCACTAGTTGGATGTATAGCAAACACATCCGTTCTTTCTTTAAAGCTATAGTAAAACTCTCCATTTGTTCCTATATCTGCATCTGTTGCACTGACTCTTGCAATGCTGGTCCTTATTGCTGTGTTTTCAGGCAATGACACACTGTAAGATGTGGGAGAAAACAAAGGCCGCAAGTCATTTGTATCCAGTACCTGTATCCGGACCTTTGTGCGCGTTTCAGCATTTGTGTTTTTTTCAACTGCTTTAACTGTCAGCATATAATGGTCTTTCACCTCTCTGTTAAGGATAGCTGTGTTTCCTCCCTTGGTCCGTATTCTCAAAAAGCAAAAGTTTCCAAGAACATATTCTTCAGCTTTGAACAAGTTCTCATTGTCACCAGAAATAATTTTGTATCTTAGGTCCCATAATGGATTTGTAATGTAAATGCCCATTTTCACTGGATGCCCAACATAAGTCTTGGCTGCAGAATTCTCATACACAGTGGCATTATACTGTGCTTGTGTAAAATGCATTGGTGGAACATGATGTGGCCTTTGATTTCCTTCACAGTTTCCAAAATGCTGCACCAGCAGCATCAGCAGCAACAGCATAGTCAAGTATCTTCCCATGGCAGCAATTACAAAGAAACCCTGAAAGAAGAGAGAGATGTGTTAAGATTTGTGACTGTTCAAATATTATTCAAATAACCTTGATGTTTAGTTTAGAATCGGTGCTTAAAAGAAAACTAGAAGGTGCATATCTAGGTTATATCCCTTTTTGCAGAAAGTTTCAATATGATTTACAGTAATAGAAAAGCAGATAAATTAAAACTCCTAAAAATTGCCAAGAATCCGCAAGACCAAAAGTCTAGGAATTTACTAGCATGACACAAGGAGAACACAGAGTTAACTTCAAATTAACAACTCCATGAGGGAACATGTTAGGAGAAATATTCCAGTGCTGTCTGCTATAAGCGAGCAAACTAGATCTGAACTTATCTGGAGTAGTGAACATTCACTCCAGTCCTCTACTTCATATGTGACATTGTCTTCTGACAGAAAATTCTTCTCCCACATTTCACTTAGATTGTAAAATGGCTGATGTTCAATGATGTGGAAGTAAACTGCAAGAGTTGGCTTGAAATTACCGTGCATTCTTCAATGTATCCTATGAGCACCTGTTCCAAGAACTATAAAAATTATAAACAGAGAATAATTCTGTATGTATTCTATTATCTCCAGCTCTGAGTACTCTTATAAGAGCAGTGGATAGCACTGCATAACATAAAAAACATTTTTATGAAGCATCACTAAGCTGTAAAACCAATAAATAATGAGACCTATTCCTTTATTCCCCTCTCAGAACAGATCTGAAACAAATTAGTATCAAGAGCTATGAGAATAGGAATCTATCAAAATAACTGGAGGAACTATTAAGACATGTTTCTCAAACGCACTCCAGAAATGACGAGGAAAGAGCCTGGAACAGCAAAGCAGACATGGAGACACACACTCACTGGCTTTCCCTTTGGAAGAAGTCAGTGTATTATTTCCAATGCCTAAATCCAGACGAGACTGCTGCAGGAAGACAGGCAGAAACCTCAGGAATGAGACCTTTGGGACCATCCCCTTCTTCTGGATTTACTGCAATAGTCTTTATGCCCTAAAGTCTCGCAGGATAACAAATCAAAACTTCAGAATGCTGCCTTAACAAGCCCAAGCTTTCAACAAAATCTTGGGGGAAAAATTTATTTCCAGCAAGTAGAAAGCAATTTAGCTTTGACTTGATTATTTTGATTAAATAGTACACATTCTTTTCTTTCGCCTTCCCCTATTTATCCTAAACATTTTTGCCTTTACTTCTTCATAGCATCTTCTTCCCTGGCCAGTCTGTTACACAACTCATACCAGCTCCTAACTGTACTCTTCTTTCATTCTTCCCAACCTTCTCTCCCACATTTTAGCCCTAGTTCATCTTCACTCCATCTCTGGCTATCAGCCTCTCCTCAGTGTCTATCCTCACACTAGTTTTGTTCATCTCAGCTCAAAAGGTATCATGTTATGTTGCTCCTTCCTCCACTCACATTTTCTCTTACAGTTATTTCTCTCTCCTTCTGCATAGGCAGATACATGAAAGACCACATTGCCTGAAATTCCATGGACTGCCTCTGCCTACTAGAAAGCATTAGAGCAAATTAATCTACTTGTGCCAACAGTTCACTCTAAAACCTCAGAAGCTAATTGAGTCACAGCCATTAGTAAGTCAATGATTTTGAGAAGAGATGAATTTAAGACTTAGATCCCCACAAACTATAGGGAATATTAGAGAGTAGTAATAAGAACTTATCTAGCACCCTTTTGGAAGGAGAAAAAAAAAGTGTGTCTGTCTTCCAAATCTAGCAATTAAGTTACATGATTAAAGCTATAACCATAGCAAACAATAAAAAGTGAATGAGCAAACAATTAAAAAAAAAGTGTATGAGCTTTTGAAAGTAAGTCTCTAGCTGGAAGCACTACTTACAAGGTCTTAAAGCTGGATGAAGGAAAGTTTGGAAAGACAAGTGAGTATGAGGTTGGAACAGCCACCATTTTAATGGGTTAACAATATGATTCCTCCCCTATCTACTCTTCTTTCCAGGCTATGATTTGTCCTAGGAATAAACAGACAGTTGAGCTTCTCCCCTAACACACTGCCAAGTAAAAGAACATTTTCAGAAAAACAGAACAAAACAAAACAAAACAAAAAAATCCCTGCAATAAATAAATGATAGGAACAGGTTCTTTTACGCCATCTTGCTGGAATTTTGGAAGCTGTCTATTATCAAAAACTACTTAATTATCAGATCTTATGCTGATCTGATCAGATTTTTTCCTCTTTTCTTCCTCAGTTACACCAGGATTGTTTTTTTTTTTTTAAAGTTTATGCTGAAGTCCAAAAGTCAGCTTGACCTCTGATGCTACAGCACCTCATAACTCACCGCCTATATTTCTGTTTGGCAACAAGCTGTCTGAAATGGTGTGATTATTGTGTAAAACACTGTACCTGTATGTATCTTTCATCATTTGCTCCTCACATTTCAGGCAAATTAAACAAAATGTGCACCACACTATGATGCATTAGACTGCATTAAGATACCCAAACTCCTTATGTGTATGTTGTACCATTACCATAAACATTTTTCCGTGCCATAATACCTTAAGCACTTTTTGCTGCTTTTCTGTAATAACTTCAAGTGGAGTCTGCTCAGAACTGGCAAGGGGCAGCCTATACACACGATGACACCACTACTGGTAAGAAAATCTACTTTCTTACCAGTAGTAGCAGCAACTTCTAAAGTTTGCTGAGTCACAACCTCGAGCTTAAGAGTACCTCTCAGCTGAACAGTTAACCGCTGTCAGTTAAAAACAAGTTAGTAATTTCTGTTATATGACACTTTTTCCATCTTGTCATAATTTACAGAGCTACTGAAAACTAAAAAATGTTGATCCAGGATTATCCAAAAATCAACATATACAATCTTGATAAATATCTAAAGTATTAAACAATGCCAGCTGTAAAGCCAGTTAACTGCTAAGGGAAAGTATAAAAGTGTTAAGATAAAGTGATAATGTGTTAGATATAAACTCAGATGGCTCATTACAGTGAGCCAGAATGAATGAATTTCAGAAACATTTTAGCCAAAGGCTACACTTTGAACTCCTAAATTTATTATCTTTGGAATATGACCAGTTTAGGATTTTTTGCATCCATCTTCAACACATAAGGCAATCGTTTGCTTAACAAAACAACACAGCCCTAGGTTTATAAGAAGTGCACACTGTATTTATGCTGAAAAGCGACTTTCAAACAAACTTTGATTTCCTATTTTGAAATAATTATTTGAGCATTTTTATTTATACGCATATCCAGGTCATTTTTATTTATATGCATACTCAGCACTGGGATACAAAAGATCATTCATATTTCTAAGCTGTGATAGTATTTTTTCCCCATATACAAATTATGTTAATAGTGCTGATGCGTTAATAAATTTGTTAACATTGTAACTAAGTAGTAAAACTATCTTCACATTAAAGGTATAAGAACAAGCGACATTTTGGGGCTAGCAGACCTCAAATTGATAACTTAAAATGAAGGTGATTTGGATAAGACACCATTGTTATATAAAAGACTGTTTCTCTTAGCAGTATGTTTACAGTACCTAGACTTCAAAGTTTGAAGATTTTAAAGTTTTAAGTACAAAAATACAGAATTTAGTAAAGAGCAATCTCAATGCCAAGCAAGTCAACCAAAAAAAAACCCCAAAACAAAACAGGCAAAACAAGATTATCTTCTACATAATGTATCAATGGTGAACATACTTTGAGAGATTAACTCCCTCAGCAATCAAATAAAAGCCACAGGCAGAAAAAGTGTGTACATCAGGCCACACAGCCCAAGTCAGGATGAGTCTTGGGTCCATTGCTACCCCTTCTCTACACACAAGATCTGCCAGTTAAGTTCAGAGCGACCTACTGTAAGACTAAGCTACATCATTTACATTACCAGAATGAGACTCTGTGAGCATGGCCTGTTACACTGCTCTAGGGTGACATCAGAGGGCATTTTGAGGATTAAAAGAGGTTCTTCAGTGCTGCTTCTACAATGCTTGTCTTCTGAAATATTTCACTAACTTTTAACACATGTAGTGGGGCTCCCCCCCATATGTGCACCAGCTTCTTTGATCTGTAATGTTAAGTTACAAACACTAAAATGTCTCCACCTATCAAAACACCACCTATTTACTTTAAAAGTCAGTTTTGATCAGCATACACAACAGATGCCGCCTGACACAAATGCACTGTGAAAAGTTATTACTGCAGTAGCTAAACTGTCATGACAGGGTTCCTATTGTAGAAGCCTACGACAGACCATGTAGCTTTGTGGGCTGTACTAACTGCAGTTACATCTACTCTTTCAACTGTTTAAGAGCAACTATTTATGTAATCTGATTGGAAAACAAACAAACAAACAAACAAACAAACCAGGTTTAGCTGTTTCAACATGCTTAAGTTTCCAATAAAAAAAAACTTAACAGTGTCTTCTGCTTTTCTGGGAGGGAGGGTGTCCATCTGTTTTGGTATTCAGAAAACTAACACATGATGAAAGCATATAGTAACATTACTTTGGTAAAGCTGGTAAGTTATTCAAAAAATGTACATTGTCGCAGAGATTAACATAACAGTTTCAACTTGTGACTAAAGTCCAGTAAATTTTATGCTTGTTAATCTCATGAGATACTTTGATTTATGCTTTTGAGATCTTTGCTGTTAAAAGAAAAATGCATTAAAAAACATGCAAAGATTCTGAATCTGGAGTGAAACAAAGTTTCACAGAGAGAATGTTGACTATTTATCGGTACACAGTTACTTGCTAGTGTACCTAATACCTAACTTACCAGTTGTGCAGAGAAAAAACAGACCTCCATTCTCTGTGAATGACAAGAGTTTGGTGGGAATTTAAGATGGCACCTTAAAGTTCGTGACAACAAAAAGTTTTACTGAGCTTGAACTCAGTTTTAAACTTACAAAAAATATAAGATGTAAATCTTAGAGGGTTTAAAGAGACTTCATGTTTGTTTGCTGGCCCTGATAACTTAGTCGTATAAGGT